GTGCGGGCACCGGGGCCAGGGGGACAAGGACGGGCGCCGCGCTGGCACTGGGGCCAGCGGGACCTCCTGCCTGGCAGACGCCCCCATCACCATTTATCCCGTTTGCTGCCTGCGGCGCCCACGTGTCCTGCTCCGAGCCGGGGTGCGTCATCTGGGATCACGCAGTAACGGACCCCAAAACTGGTCCACTGCCAAATTCCTTCCCGGGAGGAGAATAATCAAAGGAAAAGGCAAGTCTGGCTCCCTGTGCTGAGGGTCACCTTCCAGCTGCCCACAGCCCGAGGTGCCCGAGGCTGCGCAGAGATCTGTGCCCTCCCGGGGGAAGGATTTATAACACACACCGTGTGCTCCGAGAGCCACGGGTTTATAACACACACCGTGTGCTCCCAGCCATCCGTAGGGAGAACGCGGAGGAGGCCGGGACACGTCTTGGGAAGCGCTGCTGGCAAAGCAAGACAGCGCTGCCCCTGTGCGGCCCATGCTCACCAATCCCTGCGGGTCTAAAGGAATCCTGACACCCATCCAAACCAACCGCCACCCTCCGGAGAGCACCGCGGTCCCTGCCCACACATGGAAAAAGGAGGCGCACAGAGCGCTCACTGCTTGCTGATGAAATGGGAAACCCTGTGAGAGCAGGAGGACTTCTCTCTTTCTGCAGGAAAATGCATTAGTCTGCTCGCAGTATTATGCGTTTGCAGAGCTTGGACAGGCTGCAGAGCAGTAAAAAATACCTATGTACTACATCTGGGTAAAGAACTGCAAGGCAGCAGTCACAGCAGGCTACAGGTGGAGCAGACCCAGCGTCACCATCTCCCAGCACCAGGAATTGTTACAGGTGGTTTCTGAGCTGCCAGACCACCAGACTCGCTCACTGCCCACCTGATTCTAGGTCATGGTAAGAGCAAGGGAAATACATAATAAATTGCAGGAGCCTGGATTCATCGGGAAATGCAAAATCTTCTAGACCATGTGAAGGAAAAAATTAAGCAATCCTATACATTTGAATTATTCCATCGACACTAAAATTAAGCAATTCTTCACATTCAAATTATTTCATCAACAGTAACTTTTTTCTTGCTTTCCCATCCATACAAGAATTACACCATTTTCATGCATTTTAACATCAGATTTTACGTGGGTCTGTAGCAATGAAACACTGGTGAAATGTAAAGCAGAGTAGTTCACAGGAGACCAGAGCCAAGAACACGTCATCCTGAGCACATCCGCAGACATCCCACGTGTCTAGACCCCATCGCCACTCGTCCCTGTCTTTTTGCAGTGGTATGCAATACCTCATTGCTAAACGTGCGCTCGAGGTAGGGTCAAACAGACACCTTGCAAGGACTTGTGACAAGAACTATCGCATGTACGAACAGACAAGCATTCCTGGAGAGAAAACGCAGCACGATCCACACGGGAAGGCTGCCTGTGCCCCGCAGCCCCCGCGCAGCCCTCGAGGCGCCAGGAGCCGCACGCGCTGCTCCGGGGGCTGTGGCTGCAGCGGGGACAGCAGGTTGCAGCGGGAGGGCCGCGGCGGCAGCGCGTGCTGTGACGTGGCCTGCGGCCCCTCGGAGACGCCAGCGCCCCGGGAGCGCCCGGCTGCTCAAAATTTATTTAAATAACTCTATACTTATGTATTTGTCAACAACATATCATGAATAGCTGTGAAACGAACAATAAAAAATGGAAAAAAAATCTGTATGCAGTACTTGGAGCAAAAATTTTGAATTATTCTAGGCATAGCAGGCAAATCTCCACACTTATCAGATATAACAGCATACCCAAATTACTGTTCAGATGTGTAAATCCCTGTCTCTTGGAGCCTATTCAAATGCATCTTAAACATTTCTACATTATTTTTTTAAGATTAAAAAGTCATCAACACAGAAAATATGTTCTCCAGTTCCATACACAGATTATTACATCAAGAAATATAACCATCACATCAGTCTGTCTATAACACAAGAGCAGAAAGCAGTAATGACAGCCATGTAAGAAGCTACTTAGTCCAAAAAGCAAGGTTATTGACTGAGCAAACTATGCTATCATCAACTTTGCTTTTGGGACTGAGTATAGTATAAGCATGAAGAATAGGCAAAGCTAAACCAGGAAAAAGCAAACATTAATTTATTTTGTAAGGCTGGTATATGCTGTCCATCCCATACTTACTTTCGGTGGAGGTAGCTCTTGAAGCATTTGGTTTTCAAATTTAGATTTAGTCTGCAAGTTTAAAGTCATGCTTCTGCCGGCATGCATTGCTGAAAACCCTCCAGAGTGCAGCATGCCAAGGCTAACTGTGTTGTGTTTGTAAGCAGCGGTCTGAGTAGAGGAAACAACCACGTGACAGGATATGAACACACATGCTCATTGAATCAAGTATCACACATACATGGTTAAGTTCACAAAGTTTTAGTTTAAGCAAACAAACAGTACCAAGAAATAAATAGCTTTTTGAGGCATGCACTGAGTCAGACGGAAGCAAATACATTGCTACTTATACATAGAATGGATACCATAAAAAAGACTTCAACGCTGACAGCAAATGAATTATGTCGTTATCTGTAATCTGAAATTCGCAGTATACAACATGGTACAAGTCTTTATTTTGCAAATATGGCCAAATTTTGGTATGTCTGCACAACCATGGACGGGCCAGAAGCATAAATCTAGCAGAGGAGGGAGTCAAAGGCAGCGCAGGAAAAGCCCAGGCGAGAGCACGGCCAACCCTGCGCGCTGCCCAAGAGGATTCCTTAAAGCACCACATGTGGGAAACACGGATTTCCACCACAAGCTCCATACTCAGCCTGCCCTGCTTTGCCTGCACTATTCTGCCATCAGTTTTACACAACACAGGGAAAACAGCTGAACTCAGGGAAGAGCTTCAGCCTTCGAGCTGATTTTTGAAGTTTAAGCATTTGATCCTTAATGATATTTTAACATGCATCACATCCGAGACCCAAAAGGTAATGAGTAAGTTAATACCAGACCCATAAATACCTAGTAAAAAAAATATATATGGACACATACTGAAGCTAATTTATGCATTAGGTCATAGTAATTTTTTTCACATCAGTTTATGCAGCAAACCCAGATTCACGAAGCAGGTCATTGAGTAGTCAAAACCACTGGAGAAATCATGCAGCAGTGTTTCTGCAACACTTTGTATAGAAGGTAAATAAGCATAACTTTCTATTGCTAAAAGGAGTAATAACAGTATTTCTTGTTAAAAACAGAGGCAGTGCATACTCCGTGACATTTGTTCAAAGTTAAGATATAGCTTTAAATCCCCTCCACTAACAGTGACACGAATAGTTAAAATATATATATATATATATTTACTTTTTATCTGTGATTTTTCAAATTTTCTTTTATTGCCAAAGTGTATCCCACATGTTTTAAAGCTCCCAAATCATTACCAGCAACATATTCACATCTGTTAATAAGAAGAGATTTTCTTCAGTATTTCAGACAGTGCTACAGCAGCTACTAAATTAGTCATGTGCACTGTGGTAAATTACTTTTAAAGATACTCTTTATAATCCATTTACCCAAGAATCCCTACCTCCAGCTGATTTTACATGTTGACAGAAAACTTTACAGGCCAGTTCCTCTACCACAAAATGCAGGAATCTCATTAGTGGGAATTCTGATGTTTACCACTCTACGTGCAAATAGTTGGAAATATCAAAACACACAACTAAAGGCATTAATTGCAGAGAAATGCCAAACATACCCTGTCTAACCTTCTAGCTTCTATATGTCTAAGTAGCTGTTGTCTCCAGTCAGCGGGCATTTTAGCACAGCTCTCATTTCCCTTCACAGGGGCAGGCCTTGTCTTTATATCACTGTTATCTGAAGGCTTGTCACCATAGTTACCCAAGTTATAGTCTGACGGTATCTTTTCCAGCAGAGCTGCCATTGTAGGCCTAGCTGAAACTGGCCTGGTTTGGGATGTACCATAACTCTCTGTACTGTAGCTTCTCGCAGACAATGGCCTCCTTTGGGTAAGGTTTTTAACTGGAAAGCTGCCAGTCTGGGCTTTCACTTCTTGATATGAAGGATGTTCATCTTCATACCTGCCATTCCTTTTGAGGAACTGAGATTCAGACACTGAGATACTGCTTTGGCGCTCCACAGCTCCTCGATACGGAGGCCTGCCATACCTCTCGCTTGGAGGCAGTTCATGGGGCTCGCTCACTCTTCTGAACATTGACATTTCAGTGGAGCTCACCAACGAATCTGCTCTTCTCAGAAAACCCGGCCTCGAGCCCTGGCTCACAAAGGGGACGCTGACAGCCTCCTCGTTCACCGAAGGCTGAGAGAAGGAGAACATGTGCTCCATGGGAGGGTAACCATGGTAGGCCCTCGGGCTGACCAGCTCCTGGGGCAGGTTTTTACTCTGCTGGGGAACGTACTCGGGATTGTGTTGGAAAGGTGGCGGTAGCCTCTTCTCTGCCGTGACTTCCACGGCGCCCTGCGGATTGAAGCTTTGGTCAAACTGGTAGACTTTCTTGGTCACGGGCGGCTTTGGCTGCTGCTGCTGCACCTTGACGCTGCCGTAGGTGAGCAGCTCATCGTCCAGCATGGGCACGGACTGGCTGCGAGACATGCTCAGCAGCCCGTGCTCCTGTCCTAGCAGCTTATCTACTCTCTCGTGGGTTCCTACGGTATCGTTACCGGATGCATAGTTTTCTAAAGGTATGTTATAAACTTTGTATGTACCAATGTCGATTTCATCGATACTCTGTGATTTCTTAAATTTATTAGTTTTTAAATCTCTCATCATCGGAGAAAGCCTTTCTGTACTCTTGCTGATTGAAATAACACTTTTAGGAGGTTCTGGGCGACAGTGAATATGTGAAAAGACGTTCGTGAGACTTCTGTTAGCATTTGAATCATGATATTCCCATGCTATTCCTGGAGTGTAAGTGCTAGCTATTTCCGGAGACTCTTTGACATGATCTTTCCGCTCAGGCAAAGGGCTGGTGGTGGGGGTATTTTCCAGTTTGGAAGGAAAAGCTGTCCTGTCTTCAAAAGGACTAGGAGTTCTGGTCCAATTTTGCCAAGGATTGGAAGGAGGCACTTCAGATTCATGTGTGTTTCTGAGTGTAGGCTGCTCAAGCTCCAGGGGAATGCCAACTATCCTGTCTTGTCTAATTAACGGCCTGCGTCCATGTGCAGATGTGCTTCTAGATTTAGTGCTTAAGAGAGGGTTAGCACTGGGATTTTCCACTGTGCTCTCCTCTGCAACAAACCCTGTGTTATCGTAGTGCGAACCATCGTTCCAGCTGTCAGCGAAGGTGTCGCTCATGGGGCGCCTGTCGTTGCGCTGCGGCAGGTTTCCTGCTGGAGCAGATTCCCGCTGGCTCAGTAATGGCTTTGTTTCGAGGGGCTGAGGAAATGACTGCACCAGCCTGCAAAAATACAGCAAAACAAAGGAAGATAAAGTATCCTCTATAAAAAAAAAAAAAAAAAAAGCAATCATCAGACAGACACGCGTATAAAGCACTTTATTATTCTCCCATCTATACTTAGACTTCCGGATCATACTGAGATGGGCTCTGGATGCCACTGATTTGGCATGAATGTCTGCAACAGTTTTTGCACTGAAGTACAGAAGCTGTAAATATATACATGGAGAAAAAACAGAGTGAGTCCAAAGTCCTAACTGGCTCAATGCTTTCTGTTCATGTAAATGCAGCTAAACCTAACTTATTAAAAATAATCTTTTGTAAATGCAGGGGATGCTTTTTTACATCTGCTTTAACAAAAACAGAACAAAACAAAAAGCAACAAAAATACAGATTCCATCTGTGCCTGCTCTCACCACCCAGTTTTTATGCATCTCCAGTGAGTAGGCTCCAGCCTTTGTGTTTAATGATGAGAAGCTTGTGGATTTCTTAAGACAGAACTACGTTTAGGCAACCTATAGCTGGAACAGATAATAACAGGGTGTTCGTTTTACAGTGCATGAGCGTTTTAACATTACTGATAGCCAGTGCAAACCACAACAACTTCCAAGGACCTGTACTATGCTCAGATGTCCAGGGAAAACTAAGGCTCAGGACAGAACTGAATAGGAATCACAAACTCTGTTGAATGTGCTAAAAATGGCTATCTGCAGCTCAGGATCACACAGAACACAGTAATTCTAGCTCAACTGTTAAGTGCTTTTAATGCATGGTTGTCCCACATGGTCCAAAAAACAGCTGTAGATTCACTGGTATTTATACAATATGAATGCGGGGCTTCCTCTCTACAGCCTGGTTGACTATACCTCTGTACGCTGCTATAAAACTGAGCTAAAATGGTTTGATTTGAATGTCTTTATAGATAGCACACCATCACTTTGCCTAAATTCTTATGATAATAAAAGTCAAAGGGCAACAAGAAGCTGTTTAAGAAACATGATCACACCTGTTCCCCCACAAAGAATTATTCACTGCTTCTTTAGCCGTTGTCTGCAAGGACCCCATTTTAACACGTGCATTGGAGGACCCTGAGGAAGCCTGGGAAGGGGAATAGTCTGAGTAAGTGCCTGAGGAAACGCTGTTATTCAGACAGTGCATCTTATCTGCTTCAGATTCATCTGTCGATTCTGAAACAAAGCACAGCAAACATTTTCAGGAGGTAGTATTTGGAAAATGAACTTCAGAAAAATTTTTAAAATCATAGTATGAATGTAGAAATACATATGTGCACACATATGCCTCTAAAATATTTTAAAATCAGAGTGAAGTATAAAATACCTTAAGAATTACCCCTTAAATCTTATCTATCTGTGTACATTACATACGCTTTCATCTAGGAATTCACTGTAAGTCAAGGTAGTACCTTTCTTCTCTTTACCCAGAAGAACGAGTTTAGGTGTGTACAGCGGCGTCTCCGGCATGGAAGGACGAAGCTCCCCTATCCTCATCTCACTGGCAGGATGTCCATAGGCATCCTGAGGAATATAATAATGTAGAATAAACACAGGAAACGGAACTCACTTCAAGCTGCAGCAAACAAACATTTCGTAGCCTTCTATTTAACCAAGGCAGAACACACCGAACACCACAGGGGCAGCGTGTCCAATCTTACTGATCTGACAGCTGAAAATGCTACTTTCTTCTACAGCAATTACTTGTTATGTAACTGTGATGTGTTTGTTTAGAAAATGTGAGCAAAACAGATGGAACTTTTAGGAAGGGTCAAGGCCACATAAATATTTTGAATTAAAAAAGTCACAAAGCTGCAAGCTGTCAATAATATACAATAACCATTTCTTATTTTTTCAAGACTGAGAATTCCTCATTCATTTATTCATGGCAAAAGCTCTTCCACTTATTCAACTGTTCCTAAAACTACATTAAATCCAAATTAATTCATCTCTAAAGAATTTTTTTTCTAGCTTAAAATGATTCTGATTTCATGGACTTCTCATGGAGAGCTCAGCAGACGTTAACCTTCAAAGCTGTTCTGCACACCAGCTTTCCTGTCCAGCCAGCAGCAGGACACGTGCTATAAATACTGGGAGTCAAGAAGTGAAAAGAAAATCACACGGTGGCCTTAGGAAGAGGGATTTTAAATTAGGTCACTTAAATTAGGTCATTTAAATTAGGCTTAGCCAGAAGAAGGGAATGAAGACCCAAGCAGGGTCTCAGGGCCATTTCTTAACCCATCCCTGGAAGAAAGTTCAGAAATGAGAAAGATGCCAGAGCTGGAGATAGGCACCTTGGTGGAGTAGGAAGACCCAACCTGAAGGAAGAATGCAGGAATCCCCCCTCGCAGCAGCTTGGGGAAAGGGAGCTGGAAAACGAGCGACACGGGAGCCCCACGTTGTGGGAAGAAGTGCGAGCGCAAAGGGCTCAAGCGACACAAAGGAAACGCATGGAAAGGGACAAGGTGCCACAGCAAAGCGGGGAAGGCTAAGGGAAACCTGCACAGTCCTGGGAGCCGCAGGACAAGCTGTGCTTTTGGAAAGGGGGTGCAAATCCGGGCAAAGAGCATCCACCAAAAAAGAGGGTTTTTGGAGAGATATTAGGAGAAAGTAAGAAATTTGCCATAAAAATGAGGAAATGGTTGAAAGAAATATTTAGGAGGGAACTTGTACTAATGGACACCCTAGGAGGATCTCCCTGAACCCGGACATTTTGTTGATAAAAGTGCTCCAGTAAATGTAGTGAAATTTGAAGTGAATTTGAAGTGAAAATAAAATGCATTATTAAAACATAAAATACTGTACTTTAGATTCTACTTGTTTTTCATCAGAAGATGGCAACTTGCGCTCCTATTTTGAGAGGTTTAGGTTCCATTAACTACTTTTTGGTATAAACAGTGCAAACAAAAATTTGTAGAAACATCTGCCCCATAATTTATCATTGAATAATGTAATTATACTTACATTATTCACTGGTAGAAATGTACACTGGTAGAAAGAACTTAACGGGCAAAAAGGAATAATGGTGGAAGTTAAGATTCAGGTTTAGATAAAAACATTAATTTAATCTATGCTAGTTTGAAATACTAATCCATATTTAGATTTTTTTTTAAAGAAACAGAAACGTTTAACCATGACTGAAACACAGAGAACTGACAGAGCAGTTGCAGAGACTGTTTTATATATATATATATAAAAGCCTCCTCTGTGTTGCATATGGAAAACTGGTGAGGAAAAATTCATGCATCTACCTCTAGCCACAGACATTGATATTTCAAGCATAGTAAGTGCATCATAATGTTTAAATTAAAGAGGAGGTGAAAGATAATACAGTCTAGATTCTGTAACTTACTGTAAGCCCCAGGTCCAGGGGGCCTCACCTAAAGCTATTTGCAGTGAAGGAAGCATTCCCACTGACTTCAGGTTTATTCACCATGTATTAAGTTTAATGTGAATAGAAGTGGCAGAACCTACCATCCATCAGGCGAACAAACTCATTTGCCATTTACGTATTTGACCCAGAAATACACTTCCTGAAGACTGATAGTCTCCATAGCATTGTGAAAAAGAGCAGACTCAACATAAATCTAAATTAACTTTTATGAATGAAACTAGAAACTACGAGGTATGTAGTTCACAAGAGATGCAGAGTGCCATGTGATGGAGTCTAAAAACTAAAACCCCATGTTGAACTCTTGAACGGAACAAGGATCCTGTTACGTTACCTCCACTGAAATCTCCTTTGGTGTCATGGGCCACTTGTGCTCATATGTCTCTTTCACAGTTTGTTCACTGTTCACAGTTGGTGTTGAGTTCTCAGGCCGTACTCCATGGCTTGTTTTGCCCACCAGATTTTGAACCGATTTTACCATATTCTTTAAATCCTCCGGGTATGGAGTAGGATAACGTTTTAGATTTATTTCAACCTGAACATTCATAAAAAGAATTAAAACACAAAGACAAAATGAAAACGACATGCAAACTAAAACTATGGTTATAGTACTATGGTTAGGTGCAAAGCCCTCAGTTTTTGAACTAATCTATTTGGGGTAATGCAATCCATATATTTATCTTCAGGGTTTTTTTGTTTTTTGGGTTTTTTTTTTTAAGTCTTTGGACTGAAATTTGCTCCTAATCTATCATGGAGCTCCAGTGACACAAAAGAATGAATGAGAATGTTTCCCTGTAAAGCTCTTCCACCCTGTGAGAGTACTGTGCTTAATTCTACACTTGACTTGAGAGTACTAACATATTAAATTACACTTTTTCATAACAATACTGGTGTAAATGCAGAATTAATTTATCTATGTTCAGTGTACTCATTCAATCTGAGTTATCTATAACAAATGAGAACAGAATGTGATCTACTGGGACTGATCTGCTCTTTGAGATGGATAATGTGTGTACGTGCACTCAAGTGTATGAATCTGACTCTTATGGACACAGAAAATGGAGGAAAACAGACTCAATCCACTACAGCAAGGGCACCCCGGGGCACACTGAAAAGCACTCTAGTCGACTGAAACACCTACTGTCTCCTGCAGTACTTCACACTCACGTTTGTAACTCTTGTCACCCAGAGGTGCAAAACACTGCATGTGCCGAGCCCAAGGCAGTCCTGGATTTAAGAGAACTCTCCCAAAGTGCAGGGCTGAGCTGAGGGAGGAGCGGCCGGGAGGCGTCCAGCTCCCGAGCGGGGAGCGCGTGGGAGTGGGACAGGGGGGACGCGGCAGACGCAGCGCGACGCAGCGCGACGCAGCGCCCGCCTCGCCGCGCGGAGCGCAGGGAGCCGGCCCTCGCACCTGCCTTTATCACACCACAGGAAACAGAAGTCTCGCATTCAAATGGGTATGGGCTCTGGATGTGAATGTCTTAGATGCAAAACATGACGAGTTGCAAATTAAAACTAAATTAAATACTGGTATATAATTCTGAAGCACCATAGAATAATACTCCAGATTAAGAGATTCTGACACAATTTTAACATAAAATGTTAAAATGTATGGCTAAAATGTCATATGCTAATAAACAATTTCAACAACAAAAATGTATTAAGCGATTTAGGTTGAAAGAAATCCTATTCAGATGTGGCCTAATGAGGCCAATGCTCTTCTGCCAAACCCGCACCATGATTCCAGGGTGAAGGCAGCATTCAGACCCTGCCGGGAGCCAGCTCACAGGCGGGCTCCAGCTGGGCTCACCTGCCGCTGGGACAGGCAGCAGCACGGAGCAAAGGCTGCAGCTCCACGCGTCCTGCAACGCAGAACGGAGCCCAAAGCACTGCCAATTACCACTGCACACCAAACCTTATTCCCCAATTAGAAAATTCTGGCAGATTCAAATGTTACTGCAAAAGTATCATGACCCAGAAAAGAGAATTTGCTCAGTGAAAAATTCTTGATGGAAGAAATCGACTGGCAAATCTATTTTAAAGTACAGCTGGCTGAGAGTCAATTTTAACTATGAAAGACATGAAGCGAAACCTGGTATGCTTTTACAAGGAGCTACCATCATGGGTGCTTGTCGCCTCCTGTAGATGATTTAAGACAACCTCCAAGGTTACCCTGTACAGGTCTGCACGTGGTAAAACCTCCCCACGACCTATCCCACCACGCGGAGCGGCGAGCGCCAAGTTAACAAAGTGTTCCAGAAGGCAGATTGGAGCCCATGTTCCTGCAGCTAAACACAGGCTGCTGAACAGGCTGGTCAAGCAACTCTTTTTAACATTTGAGATGATTAGCCGTGCTGGGAAAAAGCACAGAAATAGCAGAGAATGGAAATAGATGTTTCTGTCCTGTTAGTATTTGATTTGAGCTTATTTCTTCATGGTTTGGGTAAAAAGAGTATTTTTTCTGATAGGGAAAAAGAAAATAAAAGATATTGGCAATACCGGATTGAACATGTTATTTCCCCACTTCCAGTTTTTACCAGCTCCAGGTATTTATAGGTATTTGGGGTATATTCACTGAGACAGGACAGAGGGGAGATGCTCCCTTGGAGGCACGCAAATTGCAGGAAATCTAAGGTCATTTAATAATTTTTCTTTGTGTAAGTAATGCATGTAGCATTATATATAATAGTATAGCATTAAATAGCATTGGCTACAGAACTTTTGTGAAATACATGGTAAGATTTGTTGGTTTTGTTGCAATGAAGCGATGTTACGATCCCTGTGGAGGAGAGGAAGGCAGGACTGCAGAAGGGGATAGCACAATCCCGTGCAGATGCAGACTCGTGTTCTACAACACTGTTCATACCCACTCTTGTCACAAGACGTGGTGACATGAAGGGTAGGGACTGCGCAGCTGCCGATGGCTCCGCCGAAGCCAGGCTGCCTCCCCACGGCCGCGGAGCCGGGGCGGCCCGACCCAACGTGCCACCGCAGCGCTGCATGATCGGCTCTGCGGGCTGCACTCGTGGCCAAATCCCCAAGGGCAGAGCAGAGGAGGCCCCAAAGGCCGCGGGCCGGCCCGGCGGGGCCGCACGGAGCCTCCGCACGGGCTGCCACGGCCGGGGGCCGGGTCAAGGAAAACAGAACCGCGGCACTTTGTGTGGGCCTCTACGTCCGCCCCTCTGCGCTGAGCGCAGCTGATGGCAGCACGCGGAGGGCTTGTTTCCTGCACAAGAACAATCCCTAGGACACGTTTTCAGTCACTTATAGTGTTCTGAAATACCCTCGCTTTAATACAGGGGATTTGATACAACAACACTGAATACTAAGAACAGTACTTGTAAGTAAATAGCATACCACTAAAACATTCCATCACCTTGGAAATTCTTATTTTTCTGTTAATATTTAAACTGCTTTTGACATTTGAAGATATTGCTCACAGTTAAAACTTCGGCTATAAGTGGGGAAAGAACATAAAATTCTTTCAGCTGCTCTATTTTCCATACATGGGCCATACATTGGCAGTTCATCCAGGATAAAATTCCAGGCTGATCTATTTGTTGTGAAACAAATTTATTTGTTATAGTTTTATTTATTTAATATTATTTATTTATTTTTATTTTTCTCCTTACCTGGACTCATTTCTGCTCAGTTAAAACAGTAAGAGTCCATTAACTCTAATGACAAGCAATTAGATGAAAACTCTTAACCAGAAAAAATTAGAAATCATTAAAAAGGAAAATCAAAGTTTTCCAAGGTAAGTGGAATGCTAATTAAATGGCTATAAATAAATGTATTTTCCTGTTATTTTTTAAATTTAAATACAGTTTTCATCTCATATGATGTTGTCTTCAATGACACTTTCTACATTGGATATCACACATCAGGTAAAACTTTGCAGTGTTAAGGTATGTGATCTAGGATGATTCCTTGATGTCACATAAGAAGCAGAAATTTTCATGCCAGGCTAAAACCAGAAGGACCTGACAATATCCCTCTAGCAGGACAAGCCACTAATGACTAAGCTGAAAGCTCTGATTTAATTGCAGATGAGTGGGGGAGGATATTTCTGTTCAAATAATCATCCTTGCTTTCAGGCAGGCTACAAGTTTAAGGAGTGATGCTTTCTGTTCTCCATCCTCTCCTGCTGTGCACACTCACACCTAATGCCCTCGAGTTGCAGAGTCTTCATCTGCTTTCACTTTGAGTGAAATCACCCATCCGATCTACATATTTTTAAAGCATTAAATTACCGAACAGTATTCAAAGTATTAAAGTACTAAATGATTCTCTGCCTCAGTACATTATGTGTTGTCTTAAGTATAAAACACCGGCCACACTAGGAAGCAAACATTAGGGCTGTGGGCCTTAGAAGAGTTAGAAAAAAAACTTTTGCTATCTAATCAACAATAGCAAACCCAGAAATTATTAATGCAGACTTTAGGGAGAAGAGATATGCTGTTCTCAGCTGTTACACTTGAATTACAGCCTAAAGTATTATCTACACATTTAAAACACAAAAATACTTCAACACAAGATCTGTCTGCCGGACACTGCCCGTATTTTCTAAGCACCAGTGTAAATTAGACGAAATTTAGAACTTACCTTAACCTTCCCTGGATTTTCCTCTTCTTCCTTTTTTTCTTCAAACTCAAAGGCAACCGTCATACGTTGCTGTCTCTGCTCTTCCCACAAGGTAGGGTTAAAACTGTCACTGTCTGACGGGAAATCTACAGTTTAATTGCAAACAGCAATCCAACAGAACATGTAATTAGTACACCTAGCCAAAGACTGGGAATGATCTAAAAAGACTAGTTTTTAGAGGATCCTGTGATCTTGGGTTGTTGTCTTAAAACTCCTGAAGGGAAGTAATGAGGGGATTAATACACAAGACATACACAAATAATTGCAGACAATTGCTGCGCACTGGGCTCTCCGGCGGCAGCAGCAGGTACATGCTGCAATTCCTGCCTCCCAGGAACTGAAGGACAGGCTCCAACACCTCCCTGAGGCCATGCTCCTCACAACACAGGGTGCTCAAGAGAACACAACACTGACCACGACGAAGTGATCTGAAAAAGGAATGTGTCCTGCGTTTATGACAGACAGGAGCTGCTGTGTATGCACTGCTGCACTTCTACACCCCTCTGGTTTTACCTCCATCACGTGAATAAGCACTGCACCACATCCCTGCCTGCGCAGGGAGCAGGGAGGGCGTTTTACCTTCATCGCTGCGGGGTTGCTGGGGAAACATGTAGTTAGTCAGTACTCTCTGCTTTGTTTCTGGGTGAGCTTCGGTTTGCAGCGGAATGAGAGCCTTGGACTGCGTAAGAAAGGAAAAACAAGGACGGTTCACCCGAAGCGTGTACGATAGTGACACGGAATGTTAGCACTTGACAAAGGGAAAATACACAAACAGCTAAAATTATGTACAAAAATAATCCTATCTTTGTGGACTAAAACAAGTATTAAGCTCATCTAAATGTTCTTCTCCCATTCCTCAATTCTGATGTGTTTGTAGTTCCTCCTAGAGCAATAGGAGAAATCTAAACGGCAGAAATCCCAACTGCACAGTAAGAATCACACCAGGAGGAAGGCCAGAGGATCAGCTGAACAGGCCCTGCACCAGCGCAGTTAAAGCACCTTGTTCCAGCTGTGGTTTATTTTAAGCGAGGGTTAATGAGGAGCAAGTTCACGCCAGCCATTAGCTCCTCTTACAATAATGCTGCTGCAAGCTCCAGGAGAAGGTGCACCGAGGCCCTGCTATCCCCATGGAACTGCTATATTTTAGTTCTATTGATTATTGCTTTGCTCTGATGCAGCATCCAGGAGTGACTGCCATGGTTCACAAAACCAAATTTTATCTACACCAACTGTAGGCAAGTCAGAATGCTGAATAAATACTGAATATTTAAAAGAAAGCGTTACATTCTGCGGTTGGGCTTAGGCTTCACGTAATTTCAGTCTTTTATTGGAAATAAGAGTGAAAAAGGACAGAATCTTAATTTAACACATTAAAAATACTCATTTTGCATTAATCCTCCTATATTATTTTCCCTCCATCCAGCTTTAAAAACATTTTCTTAACTATGCAAGTAGAAATTAAGATTAAAAGGCAAAGTGCAATGAGCATGGTATCGACGTAGACCTGTTGGGCAAGTTACCCTTGGCTTTGTTCTGGCTCGAGCGGTTTTAGCACCCTCACCACGGCACACACGTGGACACGTGTAAACGCGCGGGGCAGCGGCTGCTCCGGGCTGTCCCCGGCACGCGGAGGGGCTGAGCCTCCACGGCCTTCCCGCACGGATAAAGGATGGATTCACCGGCACCGACCCGGGAATGGGGCCCTAGAGAACGACACTGACCGGCTTCAATGGAAGACAGCTAATACCTGCAGGGGGGCACTGCAGCAAGGTGAGAAAGACGAGACCACGGCATTTTACTGAGATGATTAAGAGGTGTTAGGTACACTGAACACCTCGAACACTCTGCAAATTGAGCATTAAAAAAACACGAGTATTAAAAAGTCATTACCTGGTTGTCAGAAAGCCACAAAGCTGCAAGTTCTTTAAGTTTAGTAAAAGTGAAGGGCAAATTCTTCAATCTGTAAACAATAGAATTGGCACAACGTGAATCTTTCCACAGTAGTTTCTTTCAAAGATTTGTAAGCAGCATATTTTAATTTGATTCTGTTCAAACTGGCATCCTTTTTCGTTTTTATTTTCTCCCACTTTTTATTAAAAAATAGTGTTTTTTTAATGGCATTCCTTTAAATTGTTTCTCCATTAAGAGTGACATTTGGAATCTAAAAATACTCACATAATTCCCTAAGGATGCAAATAAGCTATTGATGCTTTGACTTGGTTGTATTATAAAAATCTGAGGCTTAACAGTATTTTACTGTTTCCACATATGTCCATATGCCTGTATAGATGAGAACATTTTTATATGTGTGTGCGTGCAGGTGCTTAAACCTAAAATTAACATCACAGGAAAGAATTGCATGCCCAAATAGCTGAAGTTTACTTGTCATTACTAAATTACCATAAAATAGATACTACAACTTTTTTTTTATAACTTAAATTAGTACTTGTCTCTGGAATAGTGCCATTTGTGACTTATTCTTCAAAATTTAAAGTGACCGATCTAAGCTTTAATAGTTAACATAAGGATCCTTAAATAACGTTTATCTCAAATGTTCTTTTCAGAGCTTTCTATCTGCAGAAAAAAGAGAATTTTTGCTCTTCGAGAGACCCCTTTATTTCTTTACACTTCTGGATTCGGGAGCTGCAGTTTTCAAAACGGAAAAGCTTTGTCTGCAGAGGGTGAAGGTGAAAAAATGCAGAGGCTGCAGTAACAGCTGCTGCAGCAATCACATTCCTGGCTTCATGAAAGGAAGCGGATAGCTCCATTCCAGCATTTCCCCAGCCCGCAGCCTGAAGGACGGTGAACTCGGGGCGCAGAGTTTGGTTGTGTGGATGAGGGGGTACCCTTGAAGGACGAGAGTTTCTAACAGAATTAAATCCTTATTTTTTCCAGACTTTTCACGCATTTCTATGAAGGTGCTTTAGTAAGTAGTCTTCTCGCTGAAGACAGAGTGAGTCCTTCTAGGCCAAAAGAAACTAATGCAGCAAATCAAGGCCTAAGTCTGAAAGCAGAGACCTCAGGGGCCCTGTGCAATCTCTGAACACACCTGCCCCAGCTGTGATTCAAGTCAGCAATGAATTTAATGAATTTAATCAGAGCTTTCATCCTTCTCCTGCGGACTGCAGGTAATGAACTAGACCTGCAGGCAAGCTTTGTGGCATTAAGAAGGAAGCAGAGCCGTAGAGATTTGTGCCAAGCTCCCCCAGTGTCACCTTTCCCTTCTTGCTGGAGCAACCACTGGTTGTCCCAAGGAGTCCTGGCCTGCAGCAACGGCCACAGGGGTTATCAGCTCGGGCTCGCTGAAGCCCTCGCAAGGAGCCACGTGCCGCTGGCAGCACATCACATCCCCTTGATTCCCTTGCCACGAGCCACGTGCCGCTGGCAGCACACCGCAGCCCCAGCGCCGCGCGCTGCGCCACGCTCCTTCCCAAGCACACAATTTGCTGCCTGCAGTCAGTGCACACGCGCACACTTCCCTGAAGCAACTGAGTTCCAGCAAGCTATTCTGCATTATCCCCATTTTCAAAACAAGTCCCATGATATCTCTCACATATAGCGCATTACTGTGAGAGATAAATACATAAAAATAATTCTAGCTTCAGCAAAGTACAGGTAAACCACAGCTACCCAGGAACTCATAAATTTCAATATAGATATTAGCTATAACATATAAAGAGATTAGTTAAGTATAGATATAAGCTGATATTTTCTGCAGATTACAGAGGGGAGCCTTTCGGTATCAATTGGCAGCTCTGAGCATTTCAGAAAACTAAGAGTTATTTTACTAATGTTAAGGATTTGGTCCCCTTCCTCTGAGCTCCTCCATAATAGAAGTGATTAATCTGCACTGCTTCCATTTATGTAATTTATTATTATAAAGAGAAATCAGTAGAAAGAAATGTGAAGTTTAAGAATATGCTACTCAACAATGAGCTTTTCTTTTAGGCTTAAATTCTGAAATATCTCATTAGTCAGTTTGGCAAAATATATGCATAAGTGTTTTCACAAACGTAATGGCAAATGTATTAACAATACCAGATGAAACCTGAATCACTCCAAAGACAGTTAATCGAAAAGATGGTCAAATTAAATTACCTTACAATTCAAAGAACACGATGCTGTACCAAACCGTTGTTCCTGTGCTTGGTATTCTCCTCACTGAACAAGAGCCCTTTGCAGGAGCAGGTCTCCCTGTGCAGGCTGCAGCTCCCCGCTGCGCTCCCGGGCGGCAGCCGAACGGCCACCGAGACTGGGCACTTCTGTGGGGCAGGGACACCTCGGAGCCACAGCTCCCCACGCCTGCAGGCGGCTGTTGCACATTTGGCACGAGCAACAGTTCGATTCATGTGCAATTTTTTTATCACTAACAACTACTATTTGCAGCCCCTTTAATCTCTTAAACACTTTTAAGCGCACTTTTTGAAACGACATCCCTAACCCCTAATCTGTTAGGGCTGCATGAGAGCACAGCATCAAAGAAGTTAGATGTCAGAAGGTTATGCCTTTCTGGAATGAAGACTTTAAAATAATTTGTTCTATCATTTATCCTAGGTTAAATCTTTCACATAATTTAAGTTCTTAAAAGGCTACGTACTCTAACAGCAAGTGACTCTGTCTTATTCTTGAAAAATAAGAAAAGCAAATAATTACGACTGATTGTATTTAAATATAAAAAAAAATCAAACATGGATACGTAAAAGTGTCTTACAAGTTTAAGGAGGCCTTTGCTTCTATTTTAAGTCTAACAGACAAAATTTCAACTTCTCCTTCTTGCTACTAACTGTTTTTTCTCATAGTTTTGTAAAATAAACCACTACAGACTTGTGCTAAGCACGAAATTTTGTTTTTGTTATGTTCTAGGTAAGCAACCTCAGAGTATGGCAAGAGTTGCCATGTTAAATGCAGTAACATAATGTAAGAGAGGAGCTTACTAAACACCTGAGCATACTTTCTAGCTTCATTTAGACATATATTATACGTTAGTGAGATTCAGAAAGAACACCGACACTCTAAACCAAGGCAACATGTAACCACCAAAAGTCACTCGTAACAAGGCGAACTGGCACCAAGTCAAGCCCACAGACTGTTACTATTTATGGCAATTCTCCAAGGTAAATTTAAGCAATATCGATTAAACCCTACTGGGTTTTCAGTGGGAAAGTTTAATCCTCAGTATTACCCCATCCCTGTACTGCAGTACAAACACACTTGGATATAAACAGCCAGAAGTCATTTACTCTTTGACAATGAGCAATACTGTGTAACTAAACAGCTAAACAGAAAAAGAAAATATATGCCAATAGACAGTCTTTTTTTAATGGATCATATAATCTTAGTGCTTTTTTCATCTAATCTCTATGGGTGAGATTTGCATTTGGTTGGTTTAGAATTGGCCACCAGGTTACCTCAGAGGGTGTCCTACACCCCTCACAGAGTTAGCAATACAGTAAACATCATTAACTAGTTCTCTAAAAGGATAGTATTTTTGATGCCAAATACTTCAGATGCTTTGCAGAAGCAGACAAACTAAAGAGGGGTGATGGTCCTAAGAACAGCTTCCTTAAGAACAACTAGAACTAAAAAAAGGTTACTTACCAGTAACCGATGCTCTTTGAGAAGTGTAGCCCAAATGTACATTCTAACAATTCTACCTCTCAATCACAGGACTCATACCTGGAAGGACTCTGAGGAGAGAGGAGAAGCAGATGGAGACAAATGTATATGTGGACTACACATTTTGAAGAACATCGGTTACTGGCAAGACATCTTTTTTCTCTGAATGAATCCCACGTGCACTCTAACACCAGGTGACTCCAGGCAGCTCCCCCCAGTAACCTGTTATGTGGGGGAGGCCTTGGCATCTTTGTGCAAGCAGCAGTACTTTATCAAATACTGCAGTGGTTCTTGAAGAACTTCATATAGTGCCATGCCTGCTGAGGGCAAGGATGAAGCTCCCGGGTGCTGCACTGCAGGTATCTGGAATGGAAACTTTCCAGTACACAAGGCGAAGTCGCCTAAGCTCTGGTCAGACACCTACTATCATAGGAGACTCCACCTTGGCCACCTGAGAGCAAGTCAGCCCACCACTGCCTTTGACTGTGTAGAGACAACTGAATACTGCACTCCCAGGGCTGAAGAACCTCTAACAGGGCTGAAAAGGTTTGGACCTGCAAAGATAAAAGGAGAGAGGACTCCCAGCACTGGAGATGAGAGGTACAGATGAAGTCCTAGAGTGCAGGCATGGGAAAGAAAAACAGGACTCTAATGCCCTGCTTAAAACAGAATTCTAACATGAGCATTTGGAGAAAATCCTAAAGCCAAAACAGACTCTGTCATGCCAAGTTCATCAGGATCAGAAAGGTCCATTTTACAAGGCTGAAGACCTCCAAAAGAAAAGGAGCAAGAGGGAAAAGACTGCAGTAACTGAAACCATAGCATTAAAAACACACCCCAGAGTGACTCCAAAAACCAACCCCGCTTTGAGCTCAAGCAGCAAAGCAGCCCATGCCAGGTTTGCCTCCGCCCTGAGAACCAAGACCAAACCTCCCATGAGTGAGGAAGTCCTCCTATTCTCCTCTTTATATGGTGCACCCTAGTTAAATTGCTAATCCCTGTAACGTGTGACCAAGCACAGGGCACCAACAGCAACCCAACACGTGGAGAGTGGCAGGAACGTAACACAACAAAAAAATCACTTCTTGCCATTTCAGCGAGTTAAATCAGTCCAGAGACTTGTCTAGGGAGCATCTGAGGTAGCGCGAGGGAAGGTGCAGGACTACCAGCCAGCCCCAAGAGGGGAGCAGGAGGGGACAGTGGCCAGCTCCTCCCCAGGGATCACAGCATGGGGAGGGGGTGCCGTAGTCAACATCTACCAAAATGGAAATCCCAATTTTCTCTTCAGTTGAGTAACAGAGGAGAGAGGAGGGTGGGGTAGGCCTGCTGTTTTGGTGGCAGCGGTCCCTCCCGTGAGCTTGGTCAGAACAGGGGTACCCACCCGCTCACATAACCAGGATTGCTCATGGCACCACATGCAAGAAATCAACGGCTGATCTGGCAGAAAACTAACTTAGCGGAAAAAAAATGAAAAGACTAATATTTTTTGCTTCCTCAGTACACCCATGGCATGATTACAGGCCTCACAGTGACCCAGTTCAGATGGGTCTAATGCAGCAGGGACCACAAGGTCTCAACCCCTGAGAAGCTGCAGGCCGGCGCCGTCCCGCGGCCGCCCCACTCCCCTCTCGCTCTGCCCCGTGTCCCCTTGTCCCCACGGCAGCTCGCTGGGCAGCAGCAAGGCCCCCCTCAGCAGAACCGTCCTGTGGAACTCACTGCGCTCCCGCCGGGCTGCGCCGCTCTCCCTGCAGGGATCCCGGGGCAGGACGGGGCACGGGAGCGCGGGCGCAGCGAGGGCAGGAGGCCTCGCAGGCAAGAGCACCAGGCTACGGGCTCGGGCTCCAGCTGCACAGCCAAAATGTACCCTACTGTGGGGACACACTGGTGACCTCGAGAAATCCAAAACCCAGAGCCAACAGACGCACCGTTTGAGTCTGGGACTTGGACAGCTCCTGCGCAAACTGATTAACCTCACATTTTGGTCCACTCTTAATGTATTTTGTAATATACAACTTCAGTGAGGAAAATGATCTAGAAGAATTAAGTAAATGATTTTAAACAAATACATTACAGCCATTTCTAGCTTTCTGCATTGTGTATTTTATGGTTAACTTTCATTTCAACAATTAAACTGTGCACAGGAAATCAGGTATAGATGTGCGAACTCCTTTTCCAAATTTTTACTGTGTGCAGAAGATGACTGAAGAAATTGGTATTCAACTACCATCTGTCTACTTTTGACCAAACTTGGATTTTTGCGTTCTACTTAAAATTAATATAATCCTGGAATATTTGCATCTATTTCAAAAATAAAACAGTCTTTTCTGATGCCTATGGGAACAAGCGATGGGTATCATGAGAGGCTCATTTTAAGTGTGCCAGCACTTCTCAGAGGAAGAGTCATATGCATAAGAACAGAAGAATTTGGTATTTTCACGAAATCTTGGTGCTGACCGATGAAATAGATTTTTTTTCTATTTTCTATTTTTTCACATTTAATGATGATCAATAAAGCAGCCTGTCACTATCTTTTGATGAGGACACAACGTATTATGAAGTTACGTACAATTTTTAGGGCTAAGTGTTTATGTATATCAGTGATACTTTCACATGGAAACGGCAGGAGATGCAAGGCAAACAGGTTTTCATTCATGAAAATATACTGAGACCCAAATCTTGGCCTCAACTTTAGCAGAACCAAGGCCCAATCATAAAGATTAAAAAAGTTTAGGATTTTTTCTACATAGTTTAAATATTATTATGGATTATATACTTTATATAAATATATTTTACATAAATATATTCTACATACATCTAAACAAAATAGTTTAGCTATTTTATAAACAAATTCTTCTAATGCAGATTAGGAAAATTACATAACTATACCTGTTATCACTCAGATTTAACACCCTCAGCTTCTGCATCTGACCAATTTCATCAGGAAGAAATTCTAGCTTGTTAGAGCGCAGAGACATAACTGTTACGTTTTTACAGCTTCCAATCTGAGGGAATGAAAAGAAACAAAGATACTTTAGGATACTTACTTGATAAAGATTCTCATCACTAACGTTTTATGTCAGAAGGTGGATAAATTGTGTCTCTACTTTAAATAATGAAGAGAAGAAAGTACAGAATCCCAAGTCAGAAAAAGAGCCCTTGTCATTAAGATCAGGGAAATGATCTTAATGGGTTTCCTGCACCACTCTTCTCAGTGATACTATCACCTCTAAATGAGGTGACCAAATACACAGGAAAGATTTGGCCTTGCACACTGGGCAGAAATAATTGCTTTATCAGATATTTTGTCTCAGTAGGGAAGAAGTATCTTTAGAAACAGAATCAGCTTCTCACTTCTCTGGGCAATTCAGGAAGGAAATTCTCATCCACAGCCAATGTCCTCAGGTTATGAAGGTAGCCAATGGTAGAAGGTAAGGACTCTAATTCATTGCAGCTGCAGTCAAATTCTTCTAATAGGGATAAACTGAAATTGTAAATACAAAGGTTAGACATACAAAGGTTAGATAATAAACAAGCTAAAATTTTTCAGTTTTAAAGTATCCCATTACTCCAAACATTGTGCCCTGAAGAAGGAACATCCCACAAGGGGTGTCAATAACAATCTGCTCTCAGTAACTATTTCAGTAACTATTAGGAACACAGTTGGTCAATATTAGCTGCCAAGGCAGTTTAGGAAAGATCAAGGCAGCTAATTTCCCATGTTACCATTTGTATTAGTTATTATGAGAAAGTATCCCAAGAAAATAGTGAGCCGGGCAATTCATACAGAACCAAACAACACAGTCCCCGTTCCAGAAAATACACAATCTTAGCACACAAAGACAGATGACAAAAGAAAATAAAAGCAGAAAATGTGCAAGGCATATTTGAGTTGATGTAGTCAACATAACTTCTACAAAGATCAGAAGTGAAACACGAGACTTGCACCCAAACTCAGCACAGTCCATCAGCCTGCTGCTGGCAGCTAACAAACCAGAAGACCTGTTTCTTGTAAATGTGCTTATCTCTCACACTAAGAACCAGCCAAAAAACAACCTTGAAAGGGCATCTGTATGGCAAAGACCAAAACAGAGCAAAGAGAAATACGTCACCCTCCCAGCATTTGATCATAGCACTGGGCTCACCAAATGCTGAGCTTGCTGAGTGGCACTGTGCACAGTAACCTGGTGTGCACCACTGCATTAGGGAGTGGACACTTATCCTTTATCTCCTCCTTTTACCAGAGCAATTTTAACGCACATATTGCAAATACATTCAGCCTACAGGAGAGCACGTTTCACTTCACGCCTGTCTGGCAGGAAGGCAGGGGTGAAATCACCCAGGCACTGCACAGCGACAGGCTGTGGTGGACAGCAGTTCTGAGCAAGAGAATGTTCTGCAGTGAAAGGAGGCCATCTCCTCATCCTGACAGCTGCTGAATACTTTAAAATGTGTCTGGATATGAAAAAAAATAACATTAGAATTAACACTGTGCTACTTCTCCATAGCACGAATCAAAAGGTTTAACTGCATCATTCCCTGCTAGAGCTGCTCATGTTTTGCTCCACATCTCCCACCTTTTTATCTCAAGTGTGGTAACTAACAAAGCTAAGTGACCAGCAATTATTTCTTCCACAGGTGTCATCATCCTGCCCCACTGATGAAGGGACTGTCTGCCCAAAGCTTCATTTTTAACAGATGTGTTGGTTCATCCAGTAAAAGGCAGTATCTCTCCTACAAACCTTGCTCCTCATCACTTATGTAGGCCACAGCTGCGGGAATGGACCTTCATTAGATACTTAACTTGCTTAACTATTTTTGCTCCAGTTTCTTAATTAAAAAGGTCTTTCAAGCCTTCGAGGTCTATGGAATGTGATGCCAGAAATAAGTCCTCATAATGTGACATTCTCAGACCTTTCCCATAACTGTTGTATTTCAACAGGCCGAGAAGTGACTCGCACTGTGATCAATGACAGAGGTGCCTGGAAACGGGTCAAAAGCTTTGCCAGGTTTTTTAATATCATCTTTGTCCTTACCACAATTTATTTCAAAGCACATGGAAAATAATTTTATTAAGAGCAAAACTCAGACATGTTTATCTACCTTGTACAAAGTATGTGCTGATGAAAAGAGGAAGAGACCTCGACAAAGGGAAGTTCAGCCTGAAAGCTTATTAAGGTGCAAGATGCACAGATTCTTTCTTTAGCTGATGATAACACAATCACCAAAAGCTGGAAAATAGATAAGCTACCTTACAGTAACTAGGCTTCCAATGAAATCTGAAAATGTGATGCTCTGAACCATAACTGGAAGTCTTTGTGGCCTGGCTTTAAACAGAACAGAATTTAATGAAAAGACCTTGCCTGGTTTATACATTCCCAGGTTCCTTCCTTCTTGGTGCCATCAGCAGCAGGTGAGTGGAAATGGTCACGGCAAAAACCAACAAATCCCCTGGGGATTTTACGTCTGTAGCTACCAGGGTTAAATAACTGTGTACTTCATAAACTGGTTTTTCAGTGATGATGGATTGTGGATGAAGAATAAGTTGACAGTAACAACTAGAACTCTGATCAGGCTGATGTAGCAAAAATTCAGTCACAAGCACAACCCATCACGTAAAACTAGTGTGGTCATATTAGGTGATGAGCCCACTGTTCTGCAAATACCCTTCTTAGAGCAGAAGTGTCCACCCCTGAAACCTAATAAAGGTTCCACACCAAGTAATGCAGAGCAGATGCTAGGCAAAAAAGAGGAGGGATCCCTCCCTTTTAATTTGAACGACTCAGTAAGACACTATCTTCATGGCAGGATTTTAAAAATTGACACTCCCCCCATATTAAAGATAATACTGGTAAGAATATCAATCATTCTGGATGATGTTCACTACACTTTAGAGTGTTACGAGCTTTTCCTGCCTGCAAGAAGGTATTGCTACATGGACTGTTTGTAAGATTCTTCCCTTTTGTGACTCATACAGCCATTTCCTTTACTTCTTATATGAAAAATACACGTATCTAAAGACATAGCAATATTAGCACAACAAGCCAAAATTGAGTTTTCGGTTGCTACAAAGCTAATAGCTCACTAATTCATTTTGTTTTCTAAATCTTGCATCAAAAGTTAATTTACTACCAGAAAAAAACACTAAAAAATTGGTGCAGGAGTAATAAAGTGCTGACTATTATTGCTGTTCTACAGACCTCCCTGTAATTAGTGACTACCATCATATTGCTGGACAAGTCCTGCCGAAGCCTTCAGGGCTTTAGCTTTGGAACTTAACTCAGGAAAGTCCTGGCTTAAGCAAACTCCCTCTACTGAAGGACGGCTTGTTGAGGCAGAGCTTGCTGAGGGAGAGCAGCTTTTGTGCTGGGGACAGGAGGAGCAGGCTGGGGGGCCAAAAGGCACCATGCTCTGTGCCCCGTGTGCTGGGGAGCACCCTAAGCAGGTCCTGGATGCCAGTGGGGATTGCATTTCTGAAGTAACATATGTAGAGCACGTGGCATCTTACAGATGCCAATGTTATAGATGCTTTCTGCCAGGAAAGGATTTGTCTAGGAATCACAAACTTGGAGGCTGGCAATTCTACATATTGTTTCAGAAACAGACTTGAATCTGTCTTGAATTCTACAATAAATTACAGATTTAATTTAGCAATAAGTTCGGGTCTGTGGAGAGAAGCTCTACACACAGGAGTACACGACAGAACTTGGCACCAGGGATCATGTAACATCTGACAAAACGAGAGCTAAAGGGCCTCATTAGAGCATATTGTAACAGGATCACTTACACCACTCTTTCACATTTTAATGTATACACCTATGAAAATTGTCATGACTTTCTCACTTACCTCAGTAGCCTTAGAAATTCTCATACATATGAGGTTTACAGCCTTTTTCTTTTCATCAAATACTTGCTGTTGCTATGGAAACAGACACACTCCCCAAATACTTAAATTTCTTCTACTTTGGTTGCTCTAATCATCTAAATTGCAAGTGATTCATAGAGAAAACACCTCTTTGTTCTTTGTTTTGGAAATTATGATACATTTCATCTTCCTGCACTTATACCAGGCTACGCACATGGAAGTAATGATGCTGCTCTAAATTTAAATTGTTTTAAGCTGCTTATTAGGCATACATTTTGAAATTATTTTATAATTGTTTCTTCTCATTTTTTATTTCAGAAAAAAAAAGTGCAAGCAGAAAATGTATTTTTCTTAGTGTTGGAAATCTCGAGACTTATACTCACTTTCCAATTGCATTTGGCAGAATTGTAAGCTGATTGTCATCAACTTTTAAAGTTGTTAGCCTTTTCAATAGTCCTGCAAAACAGAGTAGATTTTTTTTTAGTGACATATATACATCAAAAAGAAGTAACACAAAAATATTTTGCATCAATCTTCTTTACTTTCTTACTTCGGTTAAATCTGTTTACCACCCAGTAATTAGAATTTGGAAAAAAGAACTAAATATATGTCATTGCTAGAAAGTACATTTCATAATGAAGCCATTTCTTTTGTACTGAAGCTGAATACACTTCAAAATCAACCTGCATATGTACATCTGAAGATTACAGAATGCAAAAACTGGCATGTTTACACTAAGGCATTACAAAGCACTGAAATAGAAAACGGCTGTGAACTACATCTAGCAGCACTCATGCAACACTACTGGGAAGCAGCACTACCTGGTGTGACACTGCCTGTTAGTAGTACTGGAATTCTGAGTCAGTTAAATTCCGGGCTCTAACAGTTTCATATATAAAGGGATGCACCTAGGAAAAATGAAGTGATGATCATGATCTAGAGGGTTCATTTACTGGAAGCAACAGAAGGGGGCAACGGTCTCAATGTCTGTGAAGGAATGAGGACTGCAATGACATAGCCAGTCGTACAGCGGGATACACACACGACCATTTACCTTCCACAAATTCTATACTTTCTACAGAGATTCTGTGTATCTATAAGATTGTCAAAACAGAAATGAAGTATGATCTATGTCTTTGCTAAATGCTCCCATATGGAATTACACTTTTGTAACCCAGAGTGATAATGTCTGATAAGGCAGATTTTAACTGTTAAAATAATCAGTATTATACTATTATACACACTTTTAAAATTAGATGAAATCATACCCATGGCTACACCAGATCTTTATTTTGACTTTACCAAATGCTCTTTATGACGGTCCAGGCATCAGATGTTTCAGGCTCCTTTGGAATTTAATACTATTGCTTCTTCCAGGTTTATAATAAAACCTCATCACTACTGAAAAGATATAAATGAAATCCTTGATTGTAAAACATCATAAGACAGCATGAGCTTTTCTCACCTATGGAGTCTGGCAGTTGCTGCAACATATTGGATGACAATAAGAGATCTTCAAGTCCTTCACAACCCGAGATGTCCAGATCGACAGTTTCTATCCTGTTTTTTGACATATCCAGATACACCAGCTGCTTTAACTTCCCTATAGACTTAATAGCATAATACAAAAGTTTTATTGTACAGACATACACTGCAGGCCACTTTCTAAGATTAACAAAAGACAATAGTAATACAGGTTTATACTTATCTCAGCATGCTTTTCATGAGATTCACTCGACCAAAGAACTTATTAGACCAATAACGGTCTAATAAGATTCCTATTCAGGTAACGGAAAATGAAAGGCTGAAGGACGGGGCAGAGCTGAAAGAGTTTCTCCGTGTGGTTTAAAAAGACAACGGACTATTAAAATGCTGTTCATTACACTCTAGCCTTTAATTCTACAAGTCAGTTATAGCAAACTAAATGACACATACCAAACTAATTCACGTGTTCCAGATTCATTAGATCTGCTGAAAATTTGATTTCTCAAAGTCATAAAGCTGTATTATTTCCTCTGGACACAGATCCAAGAGAAATGTACTCACAATTCAGCTCATAATGGCAGTCCTCAATGTCACAGAAGCTAGACGTGTATGTAAACTTTGTGTATCAAACGCCTTTTCTGAATTTTGTAAATCTAAAACTAGACTTCAAATATGCAGTTCAATTCTGAGAGCTCAACACTACTAGTCCCCTTCAAGAGTGCAGTGTTTGAGCTGCAGGTAACTTCAATGAGAAACATGTTTATGACAGGAATTCTTCTTTGATTTCTCTTAAAAACTATTTAGCTTTTAAGAATCTGAAGCCCGACAAGATTTATTTTTAATAAATTACTGGGGATCACTGAGCTTTGAACCAATAATTTGAACTAGGACTGTCTATATCTCTGCCCGGAGAAGCAATCTGCTTCTTGATCAGTTATTACAAGGCTGTCGCTTCATTCTCGACATGAAGTTTCTCTGGGTATTTGCCTAGTGCACGTGCCAAGGGCAAGCTCCTTCAGACAGCTCCCTGTCCCCGTCTCCACGCGCTCGCAGGACAGCACGAACGTCACTTGGCTCTCCCAGCTGGGAGGGACATCTAGTCTCTGCTTCTAAGGAGGCAACACCACACGATCCTCCACCAGGTCTGGGGCTAAAAAAGGGAAAACCTCCCTTTCGTCTCCAGCTTCACCATTCCACCCCTACTAACACCTGAACACGATTTTTGGTTTATTCCTGGTACCAGAGATATTTTAGTCCATTGATCAGCCCTGGACACCTGGCACATCTCTAGATGTTAAGATTAATTTTCAGTCTGTATTTTTTTTCTATCTTTAAAGGTAAAAATTTTGAAACAAGATTCGCTTTTTTAAACTCTTGGTTCAAACATAACTTATTCCCAGAAAACAATTCAATTCTTTGGAACTGACAGTGGCAGGACTAGGGAGCACCTTCCCTAGGAAAGCACTAGCTCAGCAGGAGCGGTTTTGGAACTCATTTACCAAACAACTTCCTTGTGAAACTGAAAAGAAATACTGATCACAAAGCTTGTTCTTGGTCTCCAGCTGGTTCTGGTAAAATGCTTTCAACTTCAGCTTGTTTTCACTAACAAAGTGTTCAAAAATGGGGTATCTGGACAGTAAGTGAAAATTACCATTTTCTGTGCAAGCCTTCTGCTCAACAGAAACCAGAAATGAACACAAAACAACTTACTTAAGATGAAAACATCAGACAACTCAAAAAGGTGAATTTTCATTAATAAATCTTCAAGGTCAAGCATTTTTCTTACAATGTACCTGAGCACATTTATGATATGAAGCTTTAGTGCTAAATTTTCCCTGCACCTATGAAACCATTATTGTGTGCAACATAAAACCAGTGGCCTGTGTGGTAGAATTCTAATGACAAAGGGTTCCCCTTCACTGTCATTATCATTGTAGGCATTTTAAACTGATAAATCTCAAATAATTATGCCAATAAAAACCGAAAATCAGAGTTCTAGTGTGGGATAACAACAACCGAGAAACTCGAGTATGTATGTCATTATTTCACACAAGAATTTGATTACATAAAGTAAATGTTCATACCCCAGGTAGTATTTGCAAAGAGTTATTATCCATCCATAGTTCCTTTAGATTCTGTATTTGCTCCAGAACCTCAGGCTGAGGAAAGAACAGACAACACGTGAGAGCTACGTAACTCCCGGCCCCGCTTCTCTTCTCTGCCCCACATCACACAGAAATGCAACGACAGGAACAGCCACCACATTAACTTCCATGCGTTACCGACGGCCCTTTTTCAAACCCTACAAGAAACTTTAGAAGTATCTGGAATGAGAACGAATGCCAAGTCCTTAGAAGTTATTTTGTTTCCAAACAGTTCGTTATTAGTAATATGCAGTTTATGAACAACGCGAATAAGAGAAGTGAAAACTGGGGAGCTCCACAGAAAAGACAGACAAATCTCATCCTACAGCACATGCTGAAGTCTGTCTTTTGCATAATTTATTGTCTCAAAAACAGCTTAGCAAGAGCAGGTTATTGAATGCTTTCCAGGATATAGCTCATAGTACAATTTACTGGCTGCAATTATCATGTTCAATAGTGCAAAATAGGAGCATGCAATGATCAAGCCTGAAAATCACAATAATATTAAGCTTTAATCTAGAGTGTTCTATTTTTTCATTATCAGAGGACCTTAGTGAGACACACTGAAAAAAAGCAATTCCAAAAATCTTTTTTTTCTTTTTTCTTTTTATAAATTCCTTACAGCTCTGAAAATCAAGAATTATCATGCTGCAAACACTTTGATGTTTCAAGCAGAGCAGTATTTCTGTTTTTCATGGAACTACTTTCACATGTAAAGCACACTTTCAGTTTGCCTTACTTCTACGAGCAATCTTTAGAAGAGTTTTTTTCAAGTGTTGGTAGAAACAGCAATGAAGTATTTCATTGGGATCACGCTGAATCAGCCTGCAGCATTTCTGAAGCCTGGAGTACTATTTCACTAGAATTGTTTCAACACAGCTGATAAAAATATGTCTGCCTAATAGCACTGCACCTTAAGGGAGACCTCTAATTACCTCCTGCGACCAAACTAGCTTGGAATACTCTAATTCCCCAAATAAAGCTGGTTTTCCTGCGTATGATGTCACATGGTAGGTTATGGGAGATGCTCCCGTTGGAGGGTACCTGCTGACCTGCAGCTTCACATACAGTCACACAACACGGTTCTATTTAGAAATGATTCATCACTACTTTGAAGATGACTTACTTTGCCTCAGCTATCCCTCCTGAAATTGTCCTTTCATGGCTAAAATAAGTTTAATTTCTAGGATAAATCTATTAGGTTTTTTCTATACTTAAGCTTCGTGTTGTGATGATCAGTGGGTTTTTTTTCCTCCGGAATGTTTACTGAATGACAATTTTCTTTCTCATCATTAGAAAAACACTTTTTTAGTTTCCTATCAAATTAGATAGCATTTGATCTTGTATTTCTTGAGTTTGGATTTTCGTATACCATAATCCAGATGACATCTCATCAGGGTCTTCATAAGTGATGCTGAAGCTGTTTATCCCTGTTAGAATATACTAGCTTCTGCTAGTGCATTTTTGGAAAATATTTCCATTTTCATCATAAATCGCTACAGTTAAAGATTGACATCAATCTTTGATAAAGGCATATTACATTTTACCCTCTTTTCTTTTCCTTTTCTCCATGCCTTTGACTATCTATTTCAAAACTTCTGAAGCCTTTTCTGCTACTGAGCCCAGACTCATAAACTCTGAAATAACTACCCCAGGTCTCCCCTTCTTTCCAGGCGCAGGTACTGCAGGTGCTACTTATCATTTGGCTGGTGCCATTTTTTGCCACTTAAATAACTTGGATGACTCAAAATTCTTGCCCCATAACGTGGTTAACTTGCCCCATAAATTGTTATCCAGTGCTTTCTTTCTCCCTGAAACTCACGTCACAGAAAACAGACTCCCTTCCTTGATTATATTAAGTCACTTGAATATGGCTGCTGTTTAGGATGTGCCAATTTCTATTTCAAACCCACATATCTATCACATGATCAAATAAACGTGTTTGCTGAAAATTAATGAACAGAATTACTTCATTTTTGCAAATATCTTTAATCTACTGCACAAGATGGTCTGTATGAAGAGCACAGGGCCTCCCAGCACACTGCTGGGATGGATTTTCAAAGAAAAAAATCCATCTCCTCCACAACAACACAATCCTGCGTAGCATTTGACTACCATAGGAGGGATTTTTTTAGTAGAAACTAAATCAGATTTTCAGAAGATGTGAGAATGGACCCCTCAAAGGCCTTTTCCCAGATGATCTTCATTTAACCCAGTGTGACTAGATGCCACCATGACACCCCTGTGCCAACGGGCCCTGCCCGCTGGCCCGTTTCAGACCTGGCGTTTCCTCCTTCCCACATTTCTGGAGCAGCTTCCCGAAGAGCCGTTCGCACGAGGGCTCTGGCCCTAACTTAGCACAGGGCTGCTGGACTCCTGCCCTGGGCTTCATAAGAAACAACGGGAAAAACGGACAATGATGCGGAATTAACATGAAGCAAAGGCTACAAAACCAGCTCCCACAAAAACCACACTCTGAACTTGAGAAACCCGCAACGTTCTGTTGATCAAAATCCCACAGAACTTCTGAAAAATTCTATTCTGTGCAAAATAATAAAAATATTGCTACTTTTAATGAAATTCTGACTGAAAAAAAAGTATTTTCTCCTAGGTAACACTATGAATTCCTAAACGTTATTAGGGTTATAACCATAATGGTAGAAAACAGAGCACTAATGTCCAGATGAAGACTCTTTTGCCTAAGCTTTCCTAGTGCTGTGGGAAGACTTTTCAGAATTTATTTAACTGAGATTATCTTAATTTAAACTAAAGTTACAAAAAACATCACCCTAATGAAATAGTGATCTAGAGGGAATGTTGCTGCGATGTCGGTCTGCAATGTAGATGCTTGGTGCAGACAAAGGTTACAGTACCACTTTCTGGTTAGGGATTATAACCTAGAAATCTTTTACTCAACAAGCAGGATCGTAACATGCAGCCACACGAGCATGGTGCCTTTTAAGTAAAAGTGTAATCCCTCGCTGGTAAAGGGCGCAAACACACCAGCTTGCTACTAAAAACGGTGCATTTCTTACCAGTTCAGAAAATTCGTTATTGCCCAAATCAAGCCTCTCCAGTTGAGTCAGTTTGTGCATTGACCTGTAACAGATGAGGACAATACACAAGATTAAAATTTCTACTTGCAAACTGCAGGTCAGATTTTTCTCTCACATAAGAACAAAGCTCAGATAATGCTGTTACTATAAAACTAATCCTATCGGTTTCACACTGATTTAACTAAACACAATGTATTTCATCTTTAAGACATGAAATTCTGGAATTAAAAAAGTTAGTGACAATTATTTTAGCATCTTAGTATGGTTTAGCATAGCGCTTCAAGAAAAATAGCACAGGTTACAGTTATAAGCACATATTTTCACATCTTTGTTTTAAAACACGTCTGGTTCTTTATAGCAGAATTACCAACTGTGGTTGTTACCTTCCTAAAACATCAGTTCTGAGGCAAAACATTTCCGTGCACACCCCAGAATCCCAGGATGGCAGGGGTTGGAAGGGGCCTCGGGGGATCACCGCACCCTGCGCAGAGCAGGCGGGCGACGGCTGTTGGGTAGAGGAGTCAGTTCTGCGAGGATGCAGTGAGCAGAGCAGGGTGACTATCCCGTTACTCGGTTGCAGGACAGGCCACCTGAAAACCATCCCTATTTCACTGGCAATAGTTGCACTGGGAAGCAGCAGCGGTCTGTGCTTCCCGTTGCCGCTTGCAGCCTGTCCAAAGCCTTTGAAAAGTGGATCCCTGTGAGCAGACACAGGGCAGGAGGCCCCCGAGGCAGCGGCTCCTCTGGGGGATCAGCCCTCCCACGGCCTCCTGCTGCACGAGGCCGTGCGAACGGCCCGGCAAAGGGGACCAAAGCGCCTTATCCTGCCTCAGAGCGTTAGGGCAGGCAGGGGCAGGCAGGAGCAGCACACGAGAAGGAGCCCGAAGCTGCCGACGCCGACCATGCTGCGAATGAGGAAGAACCTGGATTTACACCTGTGCCTGGGGACTACACAAGGGCAAAAAAGACACTCGCCTGACTCAAGCTGTGAAAGAGAGGAAAAGTAACAAAATGACTGAAAAGACTTGAAGAAATTCTAGATTTAGTGAAATCAATGAGATAACCAGTTTTTCTCATGGCACAAAATTTGAGATAAACCTGAGAGATTTATCTCAATTACAGCTTTAACCGCTAACAGCACGTATTGTACCACGTGTGGACTGTTATAGCATTTACAATCTACTAATTGTGAATATAGGCAAACTCTTAAAAGGTACACAGAAGTTTTAAAAGGCTATGCTGAGAACACAGGACATCAGCGCAATATCAGAGCAACAAAGGTACTTTCAAAAAAGAGGAGAAATTGCTGAGCAGCCCGAACACACTAAAGGGCAGGTAGGACTGCAACATGTCACACGGAGGAGGTGGCGAGAGGAAAGAATATCTTATTACTGCAACAGCCGTTCCAGAAGCCTGCTGAGGTATTCAATGCAGATCCTCATCCAAAAATCAACACAACTCGTAACTGGCTCCCAACACACCTGCTCCCTATCCACCAGAAAGGAGTATCACTGTCACACCGGGAAGCACAGCCTGTACTGTTCCTTAACACTTCTGAATAGACAACTGCTTGCATTTTCTGTTGTGCATTACTACTATTCCATCCAATATATCAACTATACCCAAATAAGCATTAAAGTTGTTTGCACTGCACAAAGTAATGGAGTTGGAAATTTGCTCAGAAATGATCCATTTCTGCTGCTGCTGAGTGACTCAGTAGGATTCACATACAGAAAAACAGGGTTTGACTGAACAAAGAGCACGTTCGATACAGAAGCCAGCGCAGACAACAAACACAGCACTCACAGATGGCATTTTTGCATTATGCTTTGCAAAGTCTGGACTTCAGAGTTTTTTATCAATCAAAGTGAAATGGTATTTGCCTGTGGTGCATGTTAACGAAGAGGCTGTGATCCCAACACGTCTATCTGCCGCAAACTACGGATGTCTGCTGTAATCACACTTAGTCACACTTGGCAGAACTTGAGCTATTGCATGTATTCAAAATAATCTCAAATTTCATCTTAATTTTTTTAAACTTCTGTTCCCACATTTGTAATATGGTTTTGAGCTGAATTATTGAAGCTGAATGCTTTTGTCTTACTGAGACTGAACACAGCTTAGATAATGCCCTGTCATTGGTATTCACTAGAAAAGCAAAAAGCCGTTTAGATGATTCTTCATGTTCCCAGAAAGCAAACTTTTACCCTTCAGTAATATGTCACGTGAACCAGAGCTAGTGAAGCAGGAAAGAGGGCGGGATCCCCCTTCCTAGCTGTGCAGGACGCACGGTGTGCGGCACTCGGACACGGCAGCGCCGCGGTGCCACGGCCCCAGCAGGAGCAGGAGCAGAGGCAGCGGGTGCTGCTCGGGGCTGCCGACCTGCAGACACAGGGGTCATCCACTGCCCTGGCCCTGCTCCCGCGCAGGAGACGCCAGCAGCTGGGGGGGCAGTTGCTTTCTCACCCCGGACAAAAAGATTTTCTGATGCAATTTGTTCCTCCTAGTCATAAACTGTTTTTATTTAATTGAAAACTTTTCCGACTGTGTTTTGCTTGTTAATAATCTAGCTTAACTTTGTGCATATTTAGACAAAAGTTGTAAATACCCTATACACATTTTTAAATTAGTTGAATGTAACTAATTACACCATGACACTTTTAAATGCAAACGCTTGAATACTAAGGACAGTTAGTGCTCCCCTACCATACCGAGTATCACTAATCTTATATGAACTCTTTACACGAACGTGAGCCATGGAGGAAGTTTTTGCCAGTTTGGACTCTGGGTTTTGAGACATGTTTACACTTGCTTGTCCAGAACTTACCAAGGTGCTGTTTTGGAAATCATAACACTTTTACTTAAAATAAATAAATAATTAATTTTTGAAAAATAAGTAACTTTGAGCCATTTGCAGCCTAGCAGCTCTTTCCAAACAGCCAGGCAGCACACACACTCTCAGCCTGAGCAAGGGGGTTGTCAAAGGCATTTGACACGTTACAAGAGATCTCCTAATAAATCCTGACTGCAGGTTTTGCTCGTTAGGACCATACAAAGGTTTTACAGCCTAGGGAACGTATTTCATCACAGTAATCGAGCATTACAACTTCACAGGCATCTACACTTGCAATGTTAATTTTTTTTTCAGTTATAGTAACTATGCACACACTCACGATCTTTGCTTACGAAGTGTTTACAAGTAAAAACAGAAAACAACCCATTTTTAGTAGACAGCTCTAGAACAAAGATTTTTACATTAAAATTACTGAAAACTTCTAGCATTAAATTTTCCCATGCCCATAGCAAAAAACACTTTCAGAACTGAGAATGACCTGTGAACTTGCAACTGGAAACCAAACGGTATTTCACTGTTTTATATATATATATATATATTTACTTTCTGTGTAGACACACAGATTAGAAATATTTTGCAATATGATACTGAAACATTTTAAGGATCAAATGATTGTTAACTTTAAGTTACATATGAAGTTTGTGAACAAAGGAAAAACAAAGCTAAAACTTCTCGAATTCACATTTCCATCCACCTCTGGACAAAACTTTTATGCTAAAAGATTTGTTGCACATTATGGTATTGCTTTGCAGGATTTCTAAAAGCTGCCAAATAAAGTTTCAGAAACTAACACATGGAGGCAGACTGATTTCATTTAGCTGCTCCTATATCCAAAGATAAAGAACACTGCCAATTGTACTCAATGAAATATTATATGGTATTTTCTATTAGCTTGTGATATTTTTATCTTTCATATAAATACATATATTTTCCTTAAGATTCATTTTATTTTTTAAAGTGAAGTCATTGTATAAAAGTAGAACAGAAAAGGTGCAATTATGAGTAATGCCCAGTTAAATATTCATTACTTAAATGATGTAATTTAATTAAGGTGATAATAAACTTACAGCCAAAACTTTCCAATAAATCTTTATCTACATGACATTTGGATCTATTCTTTGTTCATATGCAACTGCAGAAATTAAACCCAGATTTGATTCCTGGCTCCTGACGTAAACGTGCGTTTTTGCACAGACTTCCCTGGAGGTTCGGAGTCGGGGCGGTGTGTGACACACGCACACACACGCACACACACATATATATGTACACACACACATACATGTATGTTTTTCCACCACAATAAGGGAAACTGGTTCCCAAAAATTGAAAAATGTGTTTAAACCACCTTAGAGCATTTACTGAACAGTTGGTGAAAACTCAACACTATTTCCAATAACAGCATTGCAGCATTAATAGTATTAACATTCCATAAATTATACTTCAAAATAAATAATTTCAGTGATATTAATTACAATTTAATCACATATATTCTCTCATGTAGCTTTCTCACGCTGTTGCCTCTTTGGTTGCTGTTTTTAGACTGGAGATACCTACACTTTGCAAACACTTCAAATAAACAGGAAAATGCCCTGGTTTTACAGTTCTGGAAAAAACAAATGAGTCAACTGACACAAATTCTTCTGACAAAATCATGGTATTGTCACAAAAATCCTGGTTGAATTTATGCCAGATTTGAAACGGTGCTTATGAGGTTTATTGAAACCTTCAATCACAAACTTCTAACTACAGCCGAGTTTTTCCCACATACTAAGTATTGTATTTATGAATGACAAAAATATCTGACAACTGAATTCATTAACAAAAAGCAATAAAGCAGAGACATTAGATTGCATTAGATTTACGCAATGATAAATACAATTATGGATGCAATATAATATTGCTACAGAAGTAGTGTATATGTCTTGCATGTTATATTTCTACAAGACAGGAGAAAGATAGAAAGCTTCTTATAAGTTTTCTTATGCCGCAAATAGAGAATCATATTTCCATATTAGTTTACAATAAATAGACACTACTATTTTCTGAAAAAAATAAAAGCAATTAAAAGCAGTTATATTGCTGGTTTGGGAAATATCTTCTGTGTTAATTCAAAATAATATTTTCTTACCCTTTCATTGCACACAGTAACCTTTATTTTGAAGTGATTGATAACGTGACACTCAGGAGGTTGTTCCAACTCTACTATTTTAAACCTTACAATGTAACTTCAGTTTTTTTCCTGCACCAGTGTAGAGGTTACATTGTAAAGTTACTACTTAATAATTTACCTGTTTCAGAGTAATTAAGTTTTAACCACGGTTAAAGCATTACATGCTACAACCACAGAGCTGTTTATCCACACATCACTTAGAGTTGCACAAAAACCTCTCAACTAGTAGTTTTCAATGAAACTCAAGACAATGTGCATGTTTATATATATTATGCATGTTGCATTGTGCATGTATATATACATTGTGCATATTTATATGCATTTTATACAATATATATAATTTGATACATATGCTGTATAAAGCAATGGACTGCAAGAATAAATTCATCTTTCATGAACTACTGAATCTATATTTTAACAAAGCTTCAAAATAACAGAATATGTGTAATTAAAATTAATTCGGGGGATACAAGATATTGTTACACATGGACTGAAATACGTAACAGATAAACTATTTATAATAGTATCAATAAGAACAACATATTTCCACCTTGACTATATAAAGAATGCTGATTTCGCCTTCCAACACAACGAAGTTGGGTTGTTGCAGTGTGCAGCATGAGCATGACGCGCGGCTGTGGCCCCTCGACGCGCTGCGGCCCCTCGTCATGCTGCGGCCCCTCGACGCGCTGCGGGCCGCTCGCCACCTTCCCGAGGCCGGGACGGACGGGGGCTGCGGCAGCGCAGAGGGGCCGCGGCAGCCCCTCGTTAACCGGCATTCAGCAAAGTGCCCAGCAGCCTCTGTGCATCACAGCTGCTCGCTGTCGTAGCATCGTCCGAGAGGACTACGTCAACACGGTCTACTCGTGCTGATGCTCCTGATGCTGCCATTTCTGGTGCCCGAAAACCTGCGGACTCCACATCCTCTGCCGTTGGTGCCACTGCACACTCAGGCGATGGGCAAGAGCACACTCTTCATCTTCCAGTGCTAAGATGAGAAAAACCAATTTCAATGCCCAAAAGATGGAACTGCTGCTGCAGAAGGTGTCTAAGCACAACCAATTCACCTATGGCACTGAAGTCTTGTGTAATTTTATCTAATCCTTTATCCAAGGGTTAAAATTCAAAGCACCATAGAGACACCGAGCCCTGAGTACAGAAACTAGAAGATCTTTCCATGATTCAGTCAGAATAAAAAAACACGGACACTCCATTTCAGGAAAAAATGTTCACAGAAAAAACGTAAGGATTTCAAGAAAACAACACTGACTTAAAATACTGTCTTCAATATATGATCCCAAATTCCCATCAGTGATGTTTCTGGCAGAGACAGATGAGATCTCTGCAAGTGTTCTCTGTCTCCAGGGGAGCCAGCTGGCCCTGAAACCGGACAGGTTTGCACAACCACGTACAGAAAGGTGAAAAAGTCACAAATGCAAATTGTGAAATTTCTGCTTAACCAATTATATGCATAAATAAAGCTCACAGTACATTTCATTATACAGCGTAAAGCACCTGACAGTATCAAGAATAAAATTGTGTACTTACATACGCACACACACACACACATATATATGTATATATTTAGCCTCCTTAGTTTCCATCTCCTTTCTGGATCCCTCCACTTCTTCCTTCGCTACAAAAGCCGGCTTCCCAAACGTTTCCCTGTTCCA